CCACAGGGTAATCAAAGTGGCTTATGATTGGTTGTGCATTTTGCACAATAAAATTAGTTTGCATATGTATTCACTACAAATTTTACTACATACGATTAAATAAATCTTGCAATTAAAGCTATACATTCAAATATAAGATTTAGGCGAGGGTTCTCCAAACCCGCCTATTCACATAGTTCATACCCACCATAAACTCCGGCCAGTCAAAATGACTATTTTGAACTGTAGGCAGAGTCAGACACCAATAGGTGGCAGGTTTTTCCAAGCAAACAGAAAAAATGATGAAAGTCTTTTCCAAGTCCGGGATGAAAACAAACAACACCCTAGTTAAGACCCAAAAAAGGGTGGTGTCTTACCTTGCCTGTGCTGTCCCCGGAGCAAGGAGCCAAAATGCTGCTAAGGTGACAGGGTTCGGTGTGCCCGAGAAAGCTAGACCCCCAACCAAGTTCTGGGGGGTAGTAAGCTTTCGAGGTAAAGACTGAAACAGTTCTGCATGAGGGCATAGGCCGCAAAGTGGGACCTGGGAGCTCCCAGGGGAGTGCTGATGGTAGAGAAATCTGTCCGCATAAAATGCCGGACTGACTTATTGCCTATGCGCAGGGACCCTCGCGGTCGTTCGGGCTGGGTCAGCAAACCAAGACTGACCCGCTACGACGGGACCCAACCTAGAGAGACCCTTATCAATGGATTCGGTGTTTCTTAGATGGTAGTTGATAAAGACGTTCTGCGTTCTCCAGAAGCCTGCCCTCCATGTGTGCTTGAGGGAGGGGGGGCTGACACTAGTACTAGCGAGTTAGTCATCGCACAGAACTCATGCGCTCATACTTTGTGTCTCTGCGAGCTCTGTGTCAAGGAATATAAAGTATTAGACCTCTAATACAGTCGCAGTAAACCACCTGGTTATGGAAGTTGGGGGGGGGGGGCTATCCTGCCTGCCTGGGCAATAACAAATCCTAGTCCGGTTTGGTGGCAACTCCGTGCTCGAACCGGGTAGAGAAGCAATTCCTCCTGACCCTCCGGGCAGACAAAATTTGATAGCCGGGGGATGACGATCAAGTGAGGATAGTGTCCTGGGATTTGGTTCTAGGCGAGAAACCCGATTCGTGTCTTTAGCACAACTTGATTGTCCATAACGGCGGTACATCATCAGAGAAGGACAATGCCCCTAGCTCTGGTCTACGCCTACCTGAGGCGAGGGCCAGTAGAAAGACTATTTTCCACGTAAAAAATTTGAGTGGTGCTGATCGGAGAGGCTCAAAGGGCGGTCTGCTTAGAGCGGACAACACAGCCGACAACAAAGTCCCAGTTGGGCGGCTCCCTTGTATGGGGTCTCAGCATCTGGAAAGCAGTAAATAGTCTTCTAATAATAGGACAATCGGTTAGTCTTGTTCCCGTACGTTTGAATGGTGGGGGACGAGGCCAACCTGTAGCCAACGATCGCTGCGTAGGACAAACCCACTTCGTCAAACAGGTGGACAAAGGAGCCTGCTACCTGGCCAATAGAGGAATGGTATCGATCAATCTCCCTTCCGCTGCACTAACCAGTGTATGCTCGCAGCCTAGAAATGTAGGCCGCATTGGTGGAATCCCTGTTCGCCCTGGCCAGGACGTTGGCAGCCCGCTCAGATAAGGCTTTTGTATGTGCGGGTCTACTGAGTGCCTCTATGCGTGTAAGTGATACCTGCTGGGCTCGTTGGTAGTGCGCCGTCTGGTTGGGACGGCAGGTCTTTCGACTATCATTTCCGATAAAAGTGGAAACTAGGCCCTGCTTGGCTAATTGGGTGCGACCAATGATAATATGCAGGTGTGCACCTGCCGAAGTTTTCTCCGGTGCCCGGTGAACTAGCGGGAAGGGATGAAAGGCGTACACAACTAAGTGGGTTCGCAGGGTAGCAAAGCGACCCTGGCCCAGGCTCCTGGAGTCAGCAGGAGTGTTACGTACGTCGGGAGCTTGGTGTTACGGGGTGCGGCAACCGGTCTAACCTTGGACCGTCCACAGCCGAAACAGCCTGGAGGCTACCCACTGGGGTATGAGCCACTCCGTGTTCTGAAGACGGAGTCGCCCTGAAAGGGCGTCGCCAGACTGTTCCTTACCCCTGGAAGGTGGTGTGCGGTTAGCTCCACATTGTATTCCAGGCACCAAAGGAGGATTTGCTCTGCTAGGACTGACAATGATGGGGAATGTGTCCCCCCCTTTCTTGAAGGAGACCGACGCTGCTTTGCTTGTGCGGAGCAGGACTCTGTGGTCTCGAACTACGAGTAGAAAGCGTGGTAGTGCTAAGTACACTGCTCTCAGTTTGAGCCGGTTGATATGGTAGTCCCGAAACTAATGCGGAAGCCATATCCTTGGGCTTGTTTGTCCAATAGATGCGCTCCCCAACCCTGGGGAAGGCATCTGTTACCAGAGTCATACCTGCAGCGAGCGGGTCCAAGGGGGCCCCTCTGCCCAAGGTTGGCCAGTGACGACCACCAGGGCAGGGCTTCCTTCACTTGGCCCGAGATTGAAACCCGCCTATCTAGTTCCCATAGGAGAGCTCAGCGTTATAACAAGCATTATACCGGGCGGCTGTGTAGTGCGGCCTGGGGAACGACCTTTCGAACCGAGGTCATCATACGGATGATCCGCAATAGTTCACAGAGGGACACTGAGGGAACACTGACTAGGCATTCGGCTAGGCTGCTTAGCGCTAAGCAACACCTTGAAATAGCTAAGCCAAGTTACCTCTGTGTCAAAAACTCCATGCCCAGGGACACCAACTGCGTGTTGGGTCGAGGTAGGAAGTAAATCCTGTGTTATCCTGACGCGTTTGGCTATTAACCCCTTGCCCGGGTTGTTGGTAACCAGTAGTCTGGGTACGGATTGAGGTGTACCGACATCTGGTGAACACGTAGAGCGCTGTGCCTAACCCGAACGGGGGGAGCACCCGAAATTCGAATACTTGGCCCAGCTGGGCGATTCGAAGGAGACGGCATCTCGCTGGGTGCATCGGTATGTGCAGGTAGGCCCCGCTTAAGTCTAGTGGGGCGAACCAGTCGAAACGATGGATGGAGAGAAGAACCCTGAATGGTGTCTCCATGTGGAACCGATCGAGGAGCACATACTGATTCAGTCTGCCAAGGTCCAGAACTGGACGCCCGCCACTTGTAGATTTGGTACTATGAACACATTTGGGTAGAAGCCTGGACTTAGTTCCGGCTGATGTACCCTGTGTATGGAGTCTTTTCCCAGCAAACTGCTACTTCCTGTCTGATTGCTTCCACCTTGCGAGAGTCCCCTGGCAATGCCCAACAGGGGAGACACTGACGGGGGAAATGGAGATTTCAGCGGTATCCCGTAACAGGATGTCACCACCTGGAAAGGTCCAGGGATCAGTCACCCGCTGTCTCCAAACCGGACTGCACCGGCACAATCTGTGTACGACAGGGATATGCGGCCATGGGTTCGGCAGTTGCGAGGGGGGTGCTCTCTTCTCCCATGAGGTGAGTTCCCCAAGGCCTGAAGTAGTCACTAAGTTGTGACCTGGCCACTTGACGAACACATGCCTGTCCCCCGGTTGCAGAGGTGAGCGTCAAACACACTTCCCCTTTGCCGGGGTAGACGTCCGCCCAGGGAGGGTGAGGAGCCACCACCTAGCTCTTTCCTCCCTGGGGGTGTGCCACTACTCTTCCCTCCCATGGAAGGGTATGAGCGCTTGCCTCCTGGCTGACTCTGGCTAGCGGACGACACCCTAGGGAGTTGTGTTTTCTGTGCTTTGGGTGCCCTCCGCTTGCCCTTGGCCGGGTCAACTGGCTAGCGGATTCGATCTGAACCCTCTGGTTCATTGCACTCCGAAGCTCCGAGACTGTACCCACCATTCCCTGAACAAAGAGGGTGGAAGATGTCCAGTCTGCGTCACTGAGGTGGAGACGTACCTCCCCTCGACTCAGGTTGTCGGTGAAAACATGTGCGTCTAAGGCCGCATCTCGTAGCACAGTAGTGGCCCTGGCCAAGAGAGCCAGGTGACACTAGGGGGTGTCGCACGTAGATGTGCGGCGGCCCACCAGTAAGGAGGCTCTAGGAGTCTGGTGCGTTCTGCCTCTGAGGTCTTCAGAGTCCTGGGCGCGCACAATAATGCGCTCAAGCAACTCTGCCCTCAGGGCTGGATGGGTCGTCTTCAGATTGGCAAGAACGCCCATGGAACGCGGCTGTCCCCTTTTGCCCGGTTTGCCAAACGGAAATTCGTGGTACCGGAGTCTGAGGAAGGAGCCTTAGGATCCGGTTGGTGGCGTTTTGGTCTCATCCCACACTATGGGGTCTGATCCCGAAACCACACCGACCGGGTAGCGTTTGGTCCAGCGGGAAGTATTGCCTAATGTCTTCCCCACCCGGGGGCCTTAAGCGTTACGTCCTCCGCGGCTGACCAACGTCCGCCCATCAACACCGTTTGTGTGCTCTGCGCCCCACTCCGCACTCGGACGGACAGGGAGAGACGTGCCGATGGGGTTGCTTTGGATCCTGATGCCTGTGATCCCATAAGCGTTGAAGCAACCTTAGGTGGTCGCCTTAGGATCATGGGTGGGGGTATTTACATTGTATCACTAGGATCGATGATACTCCGTATAACCCCAAAAGCGTGGCTCACCGAGTCATTACGGATGGAAGACTCTGAGGGACTGCCCGGAGTACCGGCTGTATCCGACACGAGCAAACTGCGTTTCCTTTCACTTTAAATATGTGAGAGGGAGCGTGTTCAACAGTGCGTCTCATGACAGGGTCGGTTCCCTCTGGGGACGCCCAAAATTAGTGGGAGAGCCGCAACTGGGAACGGGGGTTCCCCGGAAGAGACGTGTTTGAATATGCTTTCAAGTTTCTTCCTGCTTGCCCACCTAGGGGTCGCAGTGGAGACAGCTCGCTCCGACTGCGTCTGATCTACCCGGCCTGCCAGGGACGCAATTGCCCCGACAGTCCTTTGACCAAAGCCCTCAACTCTAATGCAAACCCGGCGCCGTGCGAGGAAGGGTCCACAAAAGGGACCTGCAACGGGCCCCATAGGAGGAAAGCCTCCAGGGGCACAGCCTCGCTGCAGCCGGTAAAAATCGCGTAAACCACCGCCTAAAAAAAACAGACTGTGAGAATGCCCTCCAATCAGCGGGGGGATACCGAGAAAATATCGGTACCTCCACCATCAGGCCTCCTACTCAAGGTCCCGGTACACGAAGCACTGGTAGCCGAGTGTGAGGACTTCCCACTCATGCCAAACACGCAACTCACTCTAACCGATTTGTTTACTGGACGCGCAACCTTGCTGTGACGTGGTCAGTCTCAGCGATTTTGATGGGTCTGAAAGAAAATCTCAGGCCTCAGAACTCCAGTGAAAAACACACACCTTCACGCAGAAACCCTGAACCCTGCACGCAGCTACGACAAAGTATCTCGGATGCGGGTTCTATGCTGGTAAAGTCTGAATATAACCACTGGACAGTCGACTCGGAACACGAGGAGACCAAAAAGAAAATGGCAGCAAGCCCTGGTGCTGTCATTACATCTATACACTGCTAAATACATTGTAAATAAAAGACGACATGCATGAGGGAAAAAAAATACAGTTGTAAAAGGTTCCGCCGCGAAACCAACAAGTGGTTATGTAGAGGTGCCGGGTTTTAATTTCTTTGTTGTGAAAAATACCTCACACAAAGGGGAAAATGACACGAGGGTAAAAATGACAAGAAAAACTTATCCTACCAGCTACAATGTCCGATGCCATGCAGCGGCAAAAACCCAAGCTAGAAACCCGGACAGGAAAAAAAAGCAGGCGATCCAGCAGAGCTCACTAGATTTCATCTCCTGACCTAGATTGTATCTCTCTGTCACCGGCAGAATCGCTGATTAATGCCTACAGTTCAAAATAGTCATTTTGACTGACCGGAGTCTATGGTGGTAATTGAACGTAGTGAATTTATGTAATACAATAGACATGATGCATTTTCATAAGACCTCATTATGAGACAATATACAAAATATTTCATTCATTTATAACAAATTTTAACATGATTATTCAATTAACTTTCTAGCATTGTGCTAAAGTACAGCCATTTTAGTATGACTCACAGAACAAGGTTTTTAAAGTTAATTACCACTATACTAGCTTCTATATTAAAACTAACAGGTTTGTTGTTTAGTATCAAAGCAACACTGCAGTTCAGTCAACAAATAGCGCCATTGAAAGCCACCTTTTCACTTGCAATAGAATATTTATAGTGGCTATGTTCACTCAACTCAACTGAAACCAGTGTTTTACAAAAATTTGAGCATTTCTGCATTGGCAACAAGGTCCAGGAATAGTGAATTAGAAAATATAAACAAAGTGCCTATTTACTTAATGGTAAAAGTTTAAAAACAAAAATTTACACTCAAACTAGGATCCTTGTTTCTGTGCTGTTTTATAGTAGATTTGAAAGTAACAAGTTTTCAAATATAGAAAGAGATAAATTAAAAAAAATAACAGGTTTAGGAGTAAGGAGTTTTACAAAAGCTATAATTTCTGAATTCCAAGTCTGCAATCTCTTTTAGGTAAAATATACAAGCACAATATTATGACACAAGTTTAGTGGCACTAATACTATTGACTCTTGGATATCTGTCAATAAATTCTGGATGTAGAATGAACTCCCGTTTAAATGGTCTATGTCTAGTCACTTTATTCATTTTACTGTAGTCAGTGATGTGGTAATGAGGTCCACTCGACGGTGGCGCTGGTATTGGTCGGTGTTCTATTGTATGGAACAGTCTTGCTAATGCTCTTGCTTCTGCAATCAAGAAAAGACAATATATGTCAAATTAACATTGTGATATTAAATTTGAGAATGACAAAACAATGCTGATGTTTTGTTCACATATCATATTTCTTTTATGAGAACTACATACTGGTAATACCAGATAGCGAAAAAAATGTATTAGTTCCCAACGAATACAGTCTGAAATGGGCTTCTTCTTTGACCATCTGGCGACCATTTTTTTCCCCAAAACAGCAAATATTAACATTTTAACATGTCAACTGATTCTCAAGCATACCATGGCTGATTTGTATTCAAACTTGGTATTTTCA